CATATCGATTGATTTGCTTAAAAGCACCTTTTAAAATCCATTATTCTTGAATATCAAGAAACCTGTAAATCATTCTTAATCCAATCTTCTTCACAATTTTAATTGCAATTCAAAGTCTCTTTTGATTAATCAAAATCACTATTTTAAGCCATCGTAAAACATAATTCATAATGAAACATAATTTTCATAAAAAACTAATAAGACATAATTTCATACGGAATATAATAAAACATGATTTCATACGAAACATAATAAAATATATTTTCATACGGAATATAAATTCATACGAAACATAATAAAATATAATTTCATACGGAATATAAATTAATACGAAACATAATAAAATATAATTTCATACGGAGTATAAATTCATACGAAACATAATAAAATATAATTTTCTATGAAATATAATAAAACATCATTTCGTAAGAAATTTAATAAACATAATTTCATAATAAGTCATAATTTCGCAAGAAACATCATAATTTCATTAAAACATAATTTCATTAAAACATAATTTCATTAACTTTCGAAGGTATCAAACCATATAACGTACCTTAATTCCGAATATCAATCAACACTTCGCATTTTCAAAATTCAATCACGAATACACCTTGCAATTAACATAACCATACGGTTATCACAACATCTTTAGACATAAACTCAAATCTAAATGTGCGTGGACTATAAAACTATTTTAAAATAATACTTTAATATAAAATTATAACTTTGAAATAGGTATTTATATTTTAGAAAACTAACCATGAAAAAAATAAAGGAATATGATTAAAGAGAATTGAATTTGCGTTGGAAAGAATAGGTAGAACTTTAAGAGGTCATAACTCCTTTGATACAACTCCGAATTGGGTGATTCTTGAGCCTAAACTCAAGGATATTTCAATAGGAACAATTTTATGTGAAATAGTAAAATCCCAAAACTGACCAGAAGTTCCCGAAAATTGGCTCCAAAGACATACGGGCAGATTTTCTTTTAGAAAAGAGGAAAAGAAAATTAAGAAAAGTTTGAGGGAAAAGAAGAGTAAAAGAGAAGAAGAGAATTTAGTTTTTGGTGTGAAGAATATGAGAGGTATGAGGGGGTATTTATAGGCGTTTAGGTGATGAATTTATAGAAATTTAGGGTGGTATAATTTATGGTAATTTCAAAGAATGGAAATTAAGGTTTTAAGAGTTTAGGAAATAATTAAATGTATAGAAGAATATTAGATTTTATTTTGGTCATGAAATTCTTGTTTGGCAAGTTTTGAGCTCGGAATGCAAGTATAGAATAAGATCAAATAAATTTTTGATTTAGGAGTAGAAATAAGGAATATTAAAGGATTTTTATTTTTAATAAAATAAGTTAAAAAATTATTTAGAAAAGCTATGATTGGCCGAAAATATTTGCTTAATATTTTCGGATCTCTTATGTCAATTTCAAAGGTTAGATAAAATATTTTATAAATATATTTTTCATGAAAATAATTAATTTAGGAAGATATTAAACCAGATTATTATTATATAGAATCCGAAAATACTATTAATTAGTTTAGGAAATTAATTTATTTCACGAAAATAATTTGTTTAGAAAGGTATTAAATAAAATCATATTTTTATTATGAAGAATCTGAAAATATCATTTAATTAGTTTAGGAAATTGATTTATTTCATGAAAATACTTTACTTAGAAGGATATTAAATAAAATCAAATTTTTATTTTGTAAAAATCCGAAAATAACATTTAATTAGTTTAGGAAATTAATTTATTTTATGAAAATAAGAAAAATCAGATTTTTAATATGAAAATCCGGAAATATCATTAGTTTAAGAAATTAATTAATTTGTTTTAATCGAATATAATTTCGGTTTATTATTTATTTAATTTTCGAAAATACTATTTATAACATTGCTATAAAATGGTTTTATTTATTAGATTATCCATTTTAATTATTTAAAAATAATAAGACAAATGATTTAGGCGCCAAAATTCAAATATCATTTTGGCTCCAAAACAAAAATACTCTTTTAGGAAAATAGTTAATTTAGAAAATACGTCAAAAATACGAGACCAAATACTCTTTAATGTAGAAAATACCTTTCAAAAATACGGGGTATTACAGATATATTGGCGCCAAAGATCTCGTGTTTTGTGGTTGGAAGCGGGGGACAAAAACACCAGATTTTTCCATCAAAAGGCATCGAATATTGTTGGACCTTCAGTGTCTATTACTGTGCTCTCTATTCTACAAGGTATGCCTATGCCCTCATATTTGAATAAAATGTTTATAGCTCTTATTCCGATGAAGAAGGATGAGGAGAGTATATTGAATTTTAGGCCTATTTCTACCTTTGGAGCAAGGAAAATCATGAGCATTCCTATAAGTAGCCGTCTGCAAGAGGATTCCCTTTGTTGGGATTTGGAGAAGGATGGAATATACTTAGTACGATCTGCATATAGAGCGCTTTTCAATGATGAGTGGCTGAAGGATGAAGAGACAACCTCTAATCCTAAGTGGATATGGAATGTTAATGTTTTACAGAGGATTCCCCTTTTTTTTGCAAGTACTTCACTTTTTACTGCCAAACGGGCCCCACTCCGTTCTCTCCAAGCCCCATTCTGTTCGAACTTCATTTCCTCATGCATATCGAAGGTTCATTTATACTTCCTCTGTGTCTATGCTTGCATATACCAAATATGACACGTGGAGTAGAGGATATGTAACAAATAACACTAGCACCCTAGTACAATTAATATATGTAGAGATACAATTTTAATCCCTTAATGAGGACCCATTAGAAATCAAATCTCCGTTCAATATAGAACGTGTTTTTATGGTGTTTTCTCTTATCCCAATTATTTTAATGATTCATTTTTGGAATATCAATTTTTTTCTTTTTTGATAAATTTTACAAATATGCAACCTAATAGGATATTAGTGGTTCAGAATAAATTAGAGACAAGCAGTCATTTAAAAATAAATACGAATTGAGAGTGAGGAATAGCTCAGTTGGTTAAAACTTTCCTCCCAATTTCAGGTGATTCTGGGATCGATTCTCACCACTTGCCTTTGTGACTCTCTAAACACCCTAAAAAAGCAAAAACAAAAAAACTAATTGATCAAGTAACTTACATCCTATATTTTTTTACACATTTTAGATAAAATATAAACCACAATTTTGTATATTAAGTACAACTAAAATATTGGTAGTAATAATTACAAAAATAAAATAAAATCAAACAATTAAGAAAAGATACACTACCCAACTATTTCATCCATCAAAATTCCTCACACCATAAAAATAAAAATAAATAAATAAATAAATAAAAAAAAAACTCATGCACCATCCATTCCTAAACCCCCTTCAAGAATTAGGCTCTGATCAATCTTTTGAACTAGATTATTTGGTAGTTCAGTTAGTTTAGTTTAGTTTAGTTCAGTACAACTAAGCTTAGCCCCATTCAGTTCAATTCAACTCAGTTGAGTTCATTTCAATATAGTAATATTATTACTCATTAGCTCAGTTTGGCTCTATTTCTATTCCAAAGAACATGGCCTTAATTTCATTACCTTTTCTCGTTCATTAATTCATTCATTCATTCACCTCGATTTTTTTTTAAAATATATGCATTTTAGGAATATCATTTTTTTGGGGGTAAAATTTTACAAATACACAACCTAATAAGATATTAATGATATCAATATAATTAGAGACCATTCATTCAATTCGAAACAAAAAACTAAATGAAGTAATTGAATTACACATTTGAGATCCTATTAAAAAACAAAAAAAAAAAATTACACATTAGAGAGATAAAACATAACCTATTTTTTGTACAAAAAAGTACACCTAAAATTTTGATAGTAGTTATTACAAAAAAAAAAAAAAAAAAAAAAATTAAACAAATAGGATAAGATTAGCTAAATCAACGAAACAAATCCACATAAAGAGGAAAATAAAAATAAATAAATAAATAAAATCTGAATTCTAACTTTTTTTTTTCTTTGAAGGAAAAAATTCTGAACTCTAACTTGATTAACCGTAAATAATAAATTAACCATGTCATACAATATCTAATAGCTTTAGAGTGCAGGAATTATTAAAAGTGGTAGAAGATAGATTTAATTAATTTGGGATTATTAACATAGATTTTATTTCCCAAAACTTTTACATTTGATCATTTAGTAAACTCTAATTGTATCATTTATTTCCTACAACAAATCTTATTCATTCGTCCTTATATATACTCCCCACGTACCTATTTCATTCATCAAATTCTTCACATACGACTATAATACACCAACAAAAAATCTCCTACAAGCAATAACGTAACTCCATTCTCTAGCCTTTTCTTCATTCATTCATTCATACCTCTCTTTATCGCCAAAGATGACGATGATCAACAAGAATGATAATGGTCATATGATGAAGTTCTCACTAAAGAAACGAAGTTATTCTATAATGGCTTGTTCCAAACCAAATACATCATTATCATTATCTCACTACAAGAAAAAAGATCAAAGAGGGCGATATACATTGATTAAGGAGGGCGAGTTTAATTTTGCCTTGTTAGTTTCTATCAAGGAGGGAGAAATAATAATTGCCCTTTTATTACAGAGCAAAGAGGGCGAATGTTACTTTCGTCTTTATACTTCAAAGCAAACAGGGAGAATTAATTTTTCGTCCTCTACAATAGAGCTAAGAGGGCGAATTCACAAAATCGTCCTCTATAATAGAGCAAAGAGGGCGAATTTCATTTTCGCCCTTGTTGTTCAATAAAATAAATCAACAAAGTAAACGTTTTGGCTATTTTACAAAACAAAAAAGAAACAAACAGGGCGAATGTTACTTTCGTCTTTGTATTTCAAACAAACAGGGCGAATTCCATTTTCGCCCTCGTTGGTCAATAGCAAAAAGGGCGAATTCCTTTTTTGCCCTCGTTGGTGAATAAACATTTTAACAAAATAAAACAAAGGTTTTTCTCTATTAAAACAAAAGGACATAAGAAATTAAACGTTTAAGCAAATATAAACGTTTGTTTAAACAAAGGTTTTTCCCCAAAATATGCATGAACCCTAAATCGCAAATCGCTAATCTATGATTCTTCGCTCTATTTTTTCTACCTAATTCTTCGCTCTAATTCTTCACTCCTAATCCTTGCTCTTAAGGTTCAGATTCATTGCTCGAAGTCGGTCAGATTGCAAGTCAGATTTCGCTCCAAATCATTGCTCGAAGTCGCTCTAATTGTGTCGCAAAATTTTGGTAAATTTTAGCTCAAAACTATGTGATTAAGCTTTTGATTTGTACGAATTTGTTGTTCTCGAAATCCTTGCTCTTAATTTGTTGATTTTTTTTGTCAATTTGTTCCTGCATGTTAGTATTGCTCTACATTTGTCAATTTTTTTTGTCAATTTGTCGATTCTGCAAGTTTTTGGGAGTTGTTATTTATGCTAGTAATGTCAGATAGATTATGGAGAAGCAAATCAGAATTATTCGTATTTTATCAGTGGTTTATCGATTTAATTGCTTAATTGATCGTATGAGCTATTGATTACTGTGAATTGGGATAATTGTAATTTGTTTTGATTACTATGAATTGTGATAATTGATAACTCTATCTGATAGTATTATACTAGCTAGTAGTGAGCCAGTGAGGTAATATTCTTTTGCCAATTTGTTGATGATTACTATGAAGCAAGTTAAGAATAAATGCAGTTTATGTGATAGATGATTACTAATAGTATGGAATATCATTGATGATTGAATTGGTTTACTCAGACATTTGATATTCATGTTCAGATTATGTTATGGGACAAATAAAATGATTCGGTTAGAGATGGATTCTTGGTGTGACTTAAGGATACTTGTACTTTATGACTTTTATGCTTAATTTGATTAAAACACTCTTACTTAAAATAGTCCCTTCTAATCTAATTATATACGCCCTTTGATGAGTTGCTACTTTATCAATTCAGGAGAATTAGGTTGCATTAGTCAACTGCTAGATAGTCTGCTACATGCCAATTACCCCAATAACTAGTATATTATCATATCTATTCATATAATTTTATAACTATTTTGTCTACTTATGAACTTATAATATACAAATTTATTGGTTCCATTATTTAGCTAGTAAGATCCAGATGTCTAACTTGTATATATAAAGAATGTTATTGCCTTGGCTTTTGGGAGGACTTTCACACTTTTTTCTTTTATTAACATGGACAAATAAAATGATTCAGTTAGAGATGGTTTCTATGGCTATTATGCTTGTACTTTATTATGCTTAATTGTGTATGTCCAGTTTCAGTAGCATAATGTCCATATGTGGAAATTTTTATGTCCATTTGTACTTTTGTTTCATTAGACTATTGGTCAACTTATTTATGTTGCTATAATGTTGTGTTTTATTCCACCCATCCCTTGTATCAACTTATATATTGTTTTATGTAATATAGAATGGATAATGATAGAAGTTGGATGCATGTTCAAGGGTTGAAAGGTAGGCTTCAACCAAGTTACCGAAATGGTGTTAAATACTTTCTTGATTTTGCTTTCAAGGACACTAACCCTAATTCTGGGGATAAGAAGAGGTGTTCTTGTTTGAATTGTCGAAATTACTTTGACCATGACCGATCGACAATGCGTGTTCATCTTTTTCGAGTGGGAATAGACCCTGATTACAATCCATGGGTATTCCATGGAGAGGAACAATCCCTTGACATCGGTGAGATGGAGATGTCCGAGGAGGAAGGTGATGAGTTATATGATGAAGATCCTCTTGTGTCAGAAGAGATGACTTCTTTGGTACATGATGCGACAAATGTAGTGCGGGAGGAGCACGATGGGGATGAAGGGGGTGGAGATTGTTCTGAGATTCCCGATAAGTTTTATAAATTGATGAAAGATGCAGAAGAAGAGCTATTTTCGGGTTGTAAAACATTTTCAAGGCTTGAATTCATTGTAACTCTCTTACACCTTAAGGTTAGTGGGGGTTGGAGTGAGAAATCATTTAGTGGGCTCCTAAGTGCATTACAAAAGGCCTTTAATTATGACCCAAACTTTCCAAAAAGCTCTTATGAAGCCAAGAAGTACACAAGAGACCTTGGGTTGAATTATGTGAAGATTCATGCTTGTGTCAATCATTGCATACTTTATAGAAAAGAGTATGAAAATGCTGATTCATGCCCTATTTGTGAGGAGTCAAGATGGAAGGAAGGTAGCAGTGAATTTGATGATAGTGTTACCTTCTCGGAATCTCAAGGGGCCTCACAAAGAATGCCTAAGGTACCTCGTATGGTTCTACGCCATTTTCCTTTAGTGCCAAGGCTTCAAAGGCTTTTCATGTCATCGAAAATTGCAAAGCACATGCGATGGCATAAAGAGAGGCAACAACTTGATGACAACATATTAAGACACCCATCCGATTCAATGGCATGGAAGAAGCTTGATGAATCATTTCCAGAGTTTTCAATCGATCCACGTAATGTGAGATTAGGTCTTTCGACTGATGGTTTCAATCCCGGTGGACATTTTGGCGCTAATTACAGCATTTGGCCAGTGTTTTTGGTGCCATACAATCTTCCACCATGGATGTGCATGACAAGTCCATACATCATGTTGTCACTCCTAATTCCTGGTCCCAAGTCTCCTGGAATGGATATTGATGTGTTCTTAGAACCATTGATTGATGAACTTCAAGAATTATGGGAAGTTGGGGTGAAAACTTATGATTCACATAGTCGCCAAAACTTTACAATGAAGGCAGCCCTATTGTGGACAATGAGTGATTTTCCTGCTTATGGAAATTTGTGTGGTTGGAGTACTTGTGGTAAACTTGCTTGTCCATCATGTCACATAGATACCTCACACAAGAGATTGAAGCTTGGAAAGAAAGAATTCTTTGATGCTAATCGTAGATTCTTGGATCCCGATCATAGATGGAGAATGGATAGAAAATCATTCAATGGAGAAACAGAAAGACGACCACCTCCTATCCCTTTGTCGGGGGATGAGATAGTAGAAGCCTTTGATGGTGTTCCGAATGTGATATTTGGGAAGAAGAGAAAGAGAACCAAAAGATACTTGTTTGGCCAATGGAAGAAGTTTAGTACCTTCTTTAGACTCCCTTATTGGAGTAAGCTTTTGGTAAGGCATAACTTAGATGTGATGCATATTGAAAAAAATATTTGTGATAGTATCTTAGCAACTGTACTTGATATTCCTAATAAGACAAAGGACACTTTGAACGTACGAAAGGATTTGTTGAAGTTGAACATGCATGAGAAGTTGAGACCTATCAAGATAGGTGATAAATATGCCATTCCTAGAGCTCCTTATCAATTGACATTGCGTGTAGAGTATCGGAGTGGTTGTCTAAGGTTAAAGTGCCAGATGGTTACTCTTCTAACATAGCTCAATGTGCAAGTGTAGAAGATGGAAAAATCTCGAACATGAAGAGCCATGATTGTCATGTTTTTATGCAAGATTTGCTTACACCGGCATTTCAAGGCATTTTGCCTAAGCAAGTGTTAGAACCTTTGGTTAAGCTAAGCTTGTTTTTTAAGCAATTGTGCTCCAAAACTCTAAAAATTGATGTGTTGGAGCGATTGGAAAAGAGTATTGCAATAACTCTTTGTAAGCTTGAAAAGGTGTTTGTTCCATCGTTCTTTGATATTATGGTTCACCTCCCAATCCACTTGGCTACTGAGGCCAAGCTTGCTGGGCCAGTGCAATATCGTTGGCAATATCAATTTGAAAGGTAATCTTATAGCTCATCTACATTAATATGTGATTGTTTAATTTGTGGCATCATTTAATAAGGTTTTTTGTTGTAGGGAAATGTACATTAATATGTGATTTGAAAGAATGAAGGCCGACTATTTTTCAAATCGCAAATCTTTATTAGAGGCGGAGCATGCTTGCCCACCTTCAATAAAACTTGAACAATGGAAGTGGCTTGTTTATAACTATTGGAGCTCTCCTAAACAAAAGGTAAGTTATGGGAATGCTCTTGTAATCAGAATTCTGCAAAGAAGATTGTTTTCTTCCCCTTTACTAATCCTATATGTTGTTTTGTAATCTGTATGAAAGGAGCGAGAAGAATCGGGCAAATGCTCTTGCAAAGAACATCAAGTCGGCATGTGGTGCGAAATCAACAGCTCGCATAATTTATGAATTGGTGAGTATAAGTTATTGTTAATGTCTGTCTCTGTCTCTGTCTTAGCTGAATTTGTTCTTGGCTGAATTTGTCTCTGTCTTAGCTGTTGTGACTCTGAAACTCTGCTGACTTGATCTTACTAATGTACCGCATTACAGCTAGACTAATTTATGAATTGGTGAGTATAAGTTGTTGCTCTTATGCATGACACTCCTAAATAAATTATGAAAATAGTCAAAGTAAATCTAGGTAGTTTGTAATCTAGGTAGTTTGATGTTGTAGAATTAAGCAGTTTCAGATTGTATCAGAAAACAGAAATTAATAAGTGTATGTATATGATTTGATAGGAACTTGAGGCGCAAGCTTGTGAAAATGAGAATGAGGTCACCGAAATTAATGGTTCTAGTTCAAACGTCACCTCATCCCAAGCTAAAGATGATCCCATGTATTTAAAGTTATGGGAGAAGTCAAAGAGGTATATTGAATATTTGTCTAATGCATGAACACTTCATTTTTCTTTATACTAAAATTCTGACTTTGTTTTATCTTGTAAGGCATAAAAATGGGAAGTTTGACGATGAGGCCGAGGAGAAGTTCAAGGAATTAAAGGAGTTGCATGAGAAGGAAATTGGTGAAAAGGGGGTTGATAATCTTACTCTTGAAGAAGCTTATGTGAAGGTTCTTGGACATCGTTCAGGTTATGCCCGAGGTTTAGGCAAAGGGCACCCGGTGTCATCTAAAGATGGAAAGATAGGAAGAGCTGAGCTGGAACAAAATGTTGAAAAACTACAAAATGAAAATAATATTATGCGAGCTGAATTGGAAGCGTCTAAGAAGAAACAAGAAGACCTAGAACAAAAGCTTCGGTTAATCATGGAGAAGATTGGCCTTGATGCTTGATAAAGGTAATATTTTATACAAAGTATCTTTTTCTACTTTGATATTTGGGTGTTTTTGTATCATATCAAGTGTGGTCTGATTTTTTTTAGCTCCGAGTAGTTGCCTCTTATAGTAATCATAGTCATTATTCATCATCAAGTTCCTACATTGCTACTAATATATTCTTATATTAATTTACATTCAGCTTTTTTCTGTCATGTTTGCAGTTAGGGGATCAAGTCAGTGTGCTGATGTTTTAGGGATGGAGGACACCAAAGGCTGGTTGCATTTCTTGGATGGAAAAAGGGGATGCTTGAAGATGCAAGGATGAAAAGATGTCCTAGAATTATTAAATAATTGCTTTTTGGAAAACTTGGTTAATACTTTTGTATATATAATGACAAAATTAGAATATATAATGACAAAATTAGAATTTATATTAACTAAATGTCCTAGAATTATTAAATACTTTCGTTTTTTTTTTTGAGGCAATTAAATACTTTTGTTAATACTCCTAGAATTATTTTTTTAAAAAACTAAAAATTGAACAAAGAGGGTGACTTTGGTTTTGCCCTTTAAAATTTGATCAAACAGGGCGAAATTTGAGCAAGGAGGGCAATATCAATTGACTTGTTTGAGTTGTTTTCAGAGGGCAAAGAAACATTTCGTCTTGCTTCATTCAATCAAAGAGGGCGAAATTTTTGTCCTATTTGATCTTGATCAAAGAGGGAGAAATTTTTGCCCTATTTAATTTTGATCAAAGAGGGCGAAATTTTTGCCCTATTTGATTTTGATCAAAGAGGGCGAAAAATTTTGCCTTCTTTGATATTTAACAAAGAGGGCGAAAAATTTGTATGCCCTTTGAAGCTAATAGGACGAAGCTAATAGGGCGACTTGGAGGCGATTTTAAAATCGCCCTCTTTGCCTAATAGGGCGAAATTTGAACCTAAGAGGGCTATTTAAATTGCCCTCTTTGATATAATATCTTGTAGTGTCTTCCACTCCTAATACTACACAAGATGATAACAATAAGCAGATTGTCGTTTTCGAACCACTATTACAAGCACTACCACTATACGTACCTTGGACAACAACCAACCACCAAAAAAGAGACGACGTACCAAAAAGAAGATACTATCATCAATTGTTGAGCAAGATGGTCCGACTATACTAGCAACCATGATCGATTACGTCAAGAACGCCGTTAAGGGGTATAACAACGGTGTTATTACTGATGCTTAACAAAACTGTTATCAAAGATGATCAAGGCCGACTAGCCATCCCTAAGGGCGAGATTCTAGCTAGCCGAGTTTTTGATTGAGAAAGAGGAACAATTTCTTAGTAGGAAAGTCAACGCCATAAACATGACGACCATGGACGTAAAGGTGATCATAGGGTCAGTTGTGTACTACAATATGTTCTTCATTTTGCCATTCATAAGAAGCGGTCCACCATGTTATCTGGAAAGAAATTTGAACAATATCGTATGTAATAGTTGTAGTAGAATGATAGAATCTATGTGATCAATTTATTTCGGCATTTTGACTTAGTTTTATACATTATGTTTTTAGATTACAGTTAATTAGGGCATTCGTGTACTCAGCAAGAATAATGCTACGTCTGCTTTCTATCTTTCTGGATTTTTTTTTTCTTTTTTCCTTTCTTTTTCACAAGAAGAAAAGGGATTTCATTAATAAAATATGGTCAAACGGCACTTAAATACAATTCCTAAGAAATTGAGAATTCCAACACAATTACATAACACCTTAAAACTGAATACATCGTAGATTTGATCAACAATCGCCTTAATAAAAAACTTCATCTGAAACAATACAATATGTGAGTTCGCACTGATTCGGCTTAAAATCTACTGGAGTGTAGTCGTTTGAGTGAAAATACTCATGTAGTCCTCTGGATTCTTGTAAAGATAATGAAACCCTAGATTTTCAATTCTCGTCATACAAACATAAAAAAAAATAAACTCAAGAGAGATCTCATTCTTGTGATGACGATTTTTTTTATTTTTTTTCATACAAATGGATATTTTATTGTATATATTCTTTTGATATTAATTGTTAGTGATTGTTATATATTAAAGGAAAGATCCTCAGTGTAACTAACAAAATTAGACATCCTTTAAAAAAAGCGTAACCAACTATACATTGTATAATTATATGAATTTTTATTATTATAATTCAATTAAATCAAACTATTTAGATAAATAAATTCTTATATAGTCATATAGATATAAGTGGTTTATTTCAAGTTGTTATAACTTTAAAAAAAAAAAAAAAAAAAAAAAAAAAAAAAAAAAAAAAATTGTATAATGCTACTAAAGATTTACAAAAGTAAATGCGGATCGGAGTAGTTTATACAATACGTCATTCTTTTATTGTAATGACATCTATGCAAATTTTGAACTAAACTAACACAATCCAATCAAACGAACTATACCTTTCCAATTTTTTGAAAATAAGCCAACTCATGAGCCACCTTGTTTCGACTACATTAACTTTTTTTTTTTTTAGACATGTTACGACTACATTTAACATTTAAAAAAAATAAAATGAAGTAAAATAAAAAAAGAACTATATTGCTAGGATGTCAATCATGTCATCAATAATTAAATGAACATCACTACATCTAATTATAAATTTATAATGAAAGTGAATATTTAGAATTATGCTCGGTTATACTTCCACTTTCACATGTCTTTTTTCACGGTTCTTTCAAAAAAAAAAAAAAAAAAAAAAGGGTAAATAAATAAAATCATGAAAACATGTCTTTAAAATTGTTATTTGTTTACAACAGCAAACAATGTTCGTTCCATTCCTATACATTAATATATTTTCTTACGTAATTATCTAAAAAATTTCACTTCTCTTTCATGCATTTTCTAATGATTACCTTGATTTTCTTAAAGCAAGAGAAATATAACCGTTATATCAAAACGAGAAAATACAAGTTTGGTTTGTTCTCTCTCCTCTTTCAACCTTTTGATATTTTCTGATTTTCTCTCTCCTCCTTCAATCTTTTGTTATTTTTACTTTCCTCCTTCAACCTTAAATTTTAATGGTGGAAAATACACATTTTCACTATGACATCTATGAAGGAAGAAAAACTTACCTACCCTTTAGGGTTAACCATGCTCGTTATTTTCACTTCGTTACTTGGGTTTTCGTTTAATTCCGGCGGTGAAGCCGCTGAAAATGGTGGTACGAAGTCGAATTTAAAGGAGGAAGGAAAACTCAGCTACCCTTTATGGTTAACAATGCCATTAATTTCTCCTTTTGTTATTAGGGTTTTCGTTTAATTTCGTCGGGAGAAATAGTGTTGAACGAACTTGAAAGAGAAGGTTAAAGTGGGCTGAGATTGGAGGAAGAATTTTAAGATGGGTGGGAAAAAAAAGTATGAACAAGAGGATGAACATGAAGAAGTGGGAGGAAGAAGATGATGAATAGTAGCAAACGGTGAGTTAACGGCGTTAACTCCAAAAATTTGTCCAACTTGTCTTAGTGGCCCACAAACAGTAAAAATATATATTTTTTTAATCAAAAAACACAATTTTTTATGCAACTTATTTATGAAAGTGCCATTTGATAAACATAATTTGTTTATCTAAGTTATAAATTGGGGCTTGCTCTTTCAAAACGGAAGAAGTATTACGGTTTTTTTAAGGCGGTATGATACCTAATCAAAAATCTTAATTATATACAAAGTACAAGCTTAATCTCACTTTCAAACAGTTGAGAGCCTAAGCAATATAATTATCATGGACAACCGACAATAGCTAATTAACCATAAATAGATAGTGGTTCATTGGAGGGAAGTCGCTTTCATATTATGCCATGAAAATATCTTTTCTTTTTTTCAAAAATAAAAATGTTGCAAAAATTAAAACTAGTTAATCAATTATTTCGAGTTAGATTTGTGATATATATAAGCTGAGTGATCATCGCCATCAAGTCTATTGAAAACGATGTTATGATGTAATCGTTTATGTCACATACATTTTAATCTCATATTATTTAATTAATCAAGCAATACATAAAAATATAAAACCTCATAGTGTAATCTTATATTATTGGTATTCAATATTCTTCTTGATAATGTTTGTCAAATATTAATTTTGTTCTGTTGTGTTTATGAATTTAGCACGAGAAAAGTTATTCAACCACACATTCTATTTTTGAACACCTAATATTACAATACTATTTTCAAAGTGGATTATGATTATCAGATTTCTACAGTCCTCCACTTGAATGATACAGAGAGGAAATTTTAATTGAATAGGAAATCAAATAAATGGGTTTTTGTCAAAAATTACATAACAAAATCCAAATTTTGTGATTAATTAATTAATAAAAAAATGTTGTAAGAAACTAGCTAATAAAAGGTAATTAAAATGTTGTAACGTATATACTGCTTTTGTTTGAATTTCCACTGTTAGCCTAAATTTCAACGTTTACCCGCCTCAAAACCCCTAATTTGTACAATAAGAGCTAATTGGGTAGTTCCTAACAAAATTGTCCAAATAATTAATTTTTTGAAGCTAATTAAGGGATATAATTTTTTTAATAATTTCTAAAGGATTGGAATTTGGAAACTTAATGGTATACATATATATAAACATACCATGTTACGATTTGTTACTAACCAAGTCGAATAGAGTAAAATGACAGCGAAGAAAATAAAAATCTACATGATGTCGAGTCAATGAGAGATATCTAATATATCAACTAGTATGTGCCTATGTGGCCCGGTTGTTACTTTGAGATGTCATTTTGAATAAGTTCAATTTTTTTATGAAGTGTGTTGCTTGTGATGAAATTAACATGTAGGTGACAATAATAAATTAATAAAGTATTGTAGTTGTCAGTACATTGTATAATACATTTGAAATGTAATTTTCATTCAATAAGGTTAGGAATTCAAACCTCTTTCTATACCTTTTTAGGTTCATATTTTAACATCTAAAGTATAGATTGGTAAAATTACAATTATGTACTTCGTAATATTTTATAAAAGGCATCATAAATCATCACTCATCACCGCCCCGGAGGTCAGTGCCCTAGATGGCAGAGAAAATGAGGTTTGATTTCGCAACCAAAGAATCATCGATGAGATCGAACATTTAAAATTAGAGTCACCCTCACCCCTATGCCTAAGAACCGTGAAATAATATGCTCTCTCGCTAGGTACGTAGTTAGTGAATGGCACAAAAACAAGGTGGAAGAGGAATTAGCAAATAGAGTTAGAATTGGAATATGAAAGAGAATAACGGCAAGAGATAAGGAAAGATACCCAAGTTTTGTCAATAAAGTTTAGTTTTGGGTGGGGAAGAATACACTTTTTTAAAGGTCTAAATGTAACTACAAGTATAACTCAAGCATGAATTGCCAATTATTCTCTTTCTTCCTTTCCTTTTCTATCTCAATTGTTGATCCATCTTTTTTTTTTTTTAAATTTGTGATTTGCGCATGAATTTTTTGCCTTGAAAGAGTGGCAG